TAAATGTGCTGTTTCAATACAGTTCACTTCATATGAGCAGTTACTCATGAACAGCTTGTTTGAGGATGCTAAGAGCCAGGGAAAAGCCAATGGGCAGGATAACAAATGATGAATCAGGAAATTTAAGGAAGCTGACAGGTAAGAGCAATTTGCATCTACTCAAAGTAAAACATAAAGTAGAAGTGAGAGGCTTATCCAGTCAGTAAAACTCGATATCTGAGAATGGCAAACAAGTAAATACTGACAATGCAAATGATTAATGAGCAATGTGAATGTTAGAAGTCACACTGCAGCCACACACATTCTCAGTACATTGCCATCACACAAAGATCAAAAGCATACTGTAACTGCATGGAGTTAGGCTTTGTGCAACTCAAAGAAGAGGAGGAAATATCATAGCTATTAAAGACAAAAGAGACAAATAGAAAGCACATCGTTTAAATCATTGCAACAGGGAGAATGTTGGTTAAGCAGAAGTGGCTCACCGTTAAAAAGTCATGGGTCAGATGACTGTGATGGAGCAGGCATATGATCACAGCACTTAGGGGACTAAGGCAGGGGGATTATGGGTTTGAGGCCAACCTAGGCTAGAGAGTGAGTTCAATATCAGCTTGGGGTACATAGTGAGACCTTATCTTAGAAAAATTATAGGATAACACCATTAAAAATGAGTATAATTGTATAAATGAATTAATACATATATTAATCAGACTGTCTGAAGTATGTAACATAAAACACAAATGAACAAACTTAGAGCATATCTTAAGAAGTTAAGTTTATATCAACCGGGATAAATCAGCAGTTCCATGTGATACAATGGATAGTGAAATAACATTAGGATCTAATAGGCAACAAACTGATAAGCCATATCTATTTTTAATCCATCAGATTAATTTTGTATTTAAAAGTGTAATGGGAACGGACATTTTCCTTTCTTTTAACTTCAGCACTAAGTGACACAAATTTTCAAAAAAGAAAACTAATTTACCTTACAGAGTAACTTTCATCAGTTACTCTAGCAAACTCTTTGATATTCTTTTGCATTAAAGACAAAAATTATATACATGTGTGTACGTGCCTGTATGAGTTTATGTGCACATGAGCATAAAGAAGCCCACAGGCTGGAGGGTTGCATTGGATGCCCTGGAACTGGCGTTTGAGGCATTTGCGAGCCATCTTGTGTATACTGGGAATGGAACTCCAGTCCTTTCTTTTAAGAGCAGTGAGTACTCTTTTCTTTACCATGGAGCCATGGTTTCAAGCCCAAACTTCAAAGAAAGTTGGGTTTGAAATAGGTTGATAGACAGTTTTGAAAATAAATGTTGTATAACTGTGAAATAAAGTAGAATTTCCCCATTGTTAAAAGTAATTTCTAAATGGGCTTTCAGAAGGATTTTTCCATGAAAATACATTATTATTATGTGAGTTTTCATAACATGGATCTTAGTGAAAATGTTAAATGTTCTCTATAAAACTAGTTGATAAGTTAAATATTGTAGAAAAATAAAGATGATTAATTCCTGTTCATCAGGATTTCCTCTGTATTTTTAAGTGGAAACTAAGTAATTCATTAAGTTATTTGAATTCCTTCATACCTGAACACAGTCACATGAGAATTCAACTCAGTGTACCCCTGCTACCAGCTGGCTTTATTAACTTTCTGTTCAAGGATAATCTTTCTATCTGCCCTCTCACCATTTCCTTTACTCCTACTGCAACTGTGCAGACAAAAATTCCCCATTTCACAGTGCCCATCTGAATTTATTTTAGTAAGAAAAGGTATTCTTTCTATATGCAACCTGAATTCTACTATCATATCCAAAGTACTCAATAAATTCTTTGGTCAAAATTGAATGAAGTACAGTATATAAGACATATCAAACAATATTCAAATTCAAGTACTCAGAGCAAAATCCTAGCTAATCTGTACATGTGCCTTAGTTTTTAAGATTCACCTAGTAACTGTTTGAATGTTGTTTTCATACGAATTGTCATCAGATAAATACACTAAACAAAACCAAAATAGGAGAAAGGGATTTAATTTCTATTAAGAAGTCAGAAGAACTCAGACATTATGAGTTTCTATTTACAAATGAACTAGCTCTAGTGGGTTCCTTTATGAATAAGTACCTCTAAGTTCTATTTATATACTCACACAAATTAAAAAAGGATGATTCTGGCTCTTGCTCTAAGGACACCACACAGAAGTCCATGATATCTTGCTAGTAAACATGACTCTCCACCTCTTATTATATACTGCGTCTTGTTCCACTAACTACTTATCTGTGGTAGTGATGAATAGAACGCTAGACTACTTTCAGAGATGGTTTATAGATAAATCATTTATCCTTTGACATACCTAAAGGCTAAGTCAATTCAACTTAATATAGTGAACATTTATTGACTGGCTACTAAATGCACTGTTCTGTATGACATATATACTGTTGACATTAGCAGTCAATAGGAAAAATAATCTCTCCTTTTGTCAAGTTTTTAATTTAGTCTGATAGAACTGTAAGAATATGCCAAAGAAGATTCACATAAATTCTAAAATTTAACAAATGGGAAATTTAAAAAATATTTATTTCACCTGTGAAAAATACATTTTTTTCCCTTGGGTAATAAATAAGAAATGGCAGGGCCACTCAAATAACACCAGTGAGATAAAACTCATGAACCTAGTTTGGTCCTGAGTAGACATGCAGTACCCTTCATCTTTAATAATAGTTAACTGTGTTTAAGGAAGGTTATTACCTAGAGTAATTAAGTATGAAGCAACAAGTCTCTGTTTAGTTATGAGGTGGGTTATCAGTACCACTGGTGATAAAGAGGTCAGATTAAAAAGATGATGAGCTGGCAGGAAGTGCAAAGAAGAAAATGAATTTCTAATCCTGGGTCCTAGATCCAATTACAAATGTACTCTGCCTTTTAAAAATATTTGCTCCAAGAAGAGAGCTCCATTATATAGAAATGACCTTTAGCTTATAATTTGTTTGGGTTATATGGATAACTTAGAAATTAAAAAAAGTCTTCTCATTAGATATTCATGTATGAATAAATAAAGATGTCAGATTGGATCAATAAAAAAATAAATAGTATATGATAACCAAATAAAAGTAGGTTATGGCAGTTCCTGCCTCTACTTGAACTTCTCAGTAGCAAAAATTGATGGAAAATTCTGTTTGCATATTAAATTATGTGTTAAAGAATACACACAAATAGCTGTCCTTATCTTATTTCAAATTGAATTTCAGCCACTTTTTGAACTGGTCTAGAGCAAGTACTTCTGATGCAAATCTTATTTCTAACGTGGTGATTTCAATTATCTGCCTTTGGTCAACAGAGAAAAAAGAAGTTTTTGAGAAAAAAATGTGTTTTTTTTTTAAACAATAGGCATTTGGTTATTTAATTGCTCTGGTAAGGAGTTTCTTCCACAATGACAGGAAATGACTGAACCGAATTTGACATGGGGTCTGCAAGATGACCCTCAGGGAATTTCCTGATGGCAAAGGCTAAAGATTACCTTGTCTGTCTCTTGTTGATATACATTCATTAGTCCAATGTCTGCCTTTTCCATACCTTCCCCATAATCCAGAAGGGAAGGGGCATTCTGTTGGGATTATTCCTTGAGAAAACATTATTTCTAGAAATGCCCTGTTTACAGTCCCTTTTTAGATGACCTTGTTTACCGCAATTGAAACATTTGACATTACTGTTTTTCTTCAAACCTCTGAAAATCACCTCTCCTATCCAAGCATCATCATGAGATTCAATATTAATTGTATCTCAAATCCATTTCTCCAAGGGTGCTGATCTTGCCTTTAATGGCCCACTTATCCTTTTGCATTGTGCATTAGCATTTTCAAAAGCCAGAGATTCAATTATTTCTATTTAGCTTCTAAATTTGGTATTATTCTATTCACTGCTGAAGTCAGCCTTTGTAAGAAATCAGTGAAGGTTTCTTTTGGGCTCTGTATAACTTTTGTAAATGACTCAATTTTCTTTCCTACTTCTTCAGTTCTATCCCAAGCATTCAAGGCTGCCATGCCACATAAAGCCAGGGTGTGATCTTCATATAAAGACTGTCTTTTTGTTTGTTTGTTTTTTCAAGACAGGATTTCTCTGTGTAGTTTTGGAGCCTATCCTGGATCTCGCTCTGTAGACCAGGCTGGCCTCCAACTCACAGAGATCTGCCTGACTCTGCCTCTGAAGTGCTGGGATTAAAGGAGTGTGACATCACCACCTGGCTCAAAGATTGTCTTTGTATATCAGCATAATTGTCTTCTCCAAGAAGTTGATCTTGGCAATTTTCCATACCTCTAGCCCTACTTCATTGTTCAATGGTCTTAGTCTCATCTTACCACCAGGTCCTCCATTGTAACTGGAGACCAGCCTCTAAGATGGTTGTAACCAAATCTCTCCAGTCTTGGGGGATAATTCTATTACAAGCTGACCATGAGTTTAACATCTGCTTCATGAAAGATGAGTGGATGCCATATGAGACTATTGCTTCTTTGAATCTTCTTAAATCTAACATTTGCATAGGAGTCCAGTCAGCTCCTTACATAGCCTTGAGGTATCTATCACTGGGTAATTCCTGTAAGGTTACTAGATAGATTAAGGTTGCCTGTTTCAAAGCCTTGGGCCATTTCTCTGTAACCTTATAATGTAATGCTGAGGTTGGTTCACCTTTAAATTCTTCTGTCTGGGTCTGAATATCTCTATGATCTGTTTTAATAAGTTTTTCTAAAACTTTTATCTTGTCACTCATATTAACCAATTTTTAAATGATAAAACCAAAATGATCAGACAAATAATATTTATAATTGACATTACATAAATACCATTAACATTAATTATCATCTCATTTAATTCTTTCACTTTTAGACTGTCTAATGTATTATCAAACAGAGACCAAACTCCCACCATTGTAAAAATGGCCACTTTCGCACACTTCCCCCATTCAGACAGCTGGATCTTTTGCTTCTTTCCTCTCCCAGGGGGTTTTGGCTTTCTCTGGTCACTTCCTCAGGCCGCTGCCACACCATCATCTGAATCTCATTGTCATCAGATTTGGTGAGTCAATTGGGACTTCTTAAAGGGAGGAATTAGTTAAAAGAAAGTTTTTACCACATTAAAAAACAGGAAAAATATTTTATTCTTTTGGATGTTATTGAAAATGAGTTTTCTATTAATTTTCATTTTATAGTATACATTGTTAATGTACATTGTATTATGTTCTATTATACACTGTTAATATAAATGAATAGATTCTTGTGTTGATTTTATATTCTGCAAGTTTGCTTAGTCTTACAATGTGTGTGTATGTATGCATATGATTATGAACATACAAGTATGTGCATGTGGATGGAGTGAGTCAATCTTGGGTATCATTCTTTGGTACTTTTTCACCTTCTTTTTGAAACAGTATCCTGGAGCATGTCAAATAGGCTAGGCTAGATGGCAATATGAGCACAAGGGAACTGCCTGACATGATTCTCCAGGGCTGGGATTACAAGTATGTGACATCACACCTGGTCTTTTGATGTGAATCCTGGGGAACTGAACTCATGTTTATCAGGTATGCACTTTACTTACAGAGGACTTTCCCCAGCCACTGAGTATTTTCTTTTTCTTCATTTTGCAGTTCACTGATTCCCTCTGGCTTTTTCTACAGGCTCCTGGTAACCCTCTAATCCTTTCTCTACCCCACTTCTTGTACTGAAAGACCAAAATTACCATCTGCCAACATGACTAGAAAGACTGGTATTATTTTTCTCACTTTGGTTTAAAACTGGTACCATAACCAGCTTAGGATTTGAGGATCACATTCACTTTCTCAAATAATCATCATGTGTTTGGGCACTAAGGCAAATTCTCCACCATCACATCTCAAATATTGGATTTATTTGCCTGGTTTACTTCAAAGGATACAAGGTCCCTGAAGTTAATAATTGTTGGCTGTTTAATTTACTATTGTAATTCCAGTGCTTAAATAGTGGTAGAGATGGTCCAGGAACATGTGTGTGTGTGTGTGTGTGTGTGTGTGTGTGTGTGTGTGTGTGTGTGTGTGTTCAAGGCCAGCCTGGTCTACAAAGCAAGTTCCAGGACAGCCAGGGCTACCCTGTCTCAAATACCCCAAACCAACCAACAAAACATAAAATACCCCAATTTCTTAAAATAACAACAAAATAACATGTAACAGAATAACCAGAGTAAAAAGGGGTTGGGGCTGGGCGGTGGTGGCGCAAGCCTTTAATCCCAGCACTTGGGAGGCAGAGGCAGGCGGATCTTTGTGAGTTCGAGGCCAGCCTGGTCTAGAGAGCGAGATCCAGGAAAGGCACAAAGCTGCACAGAGAAACCCTGTCTCGAAAAACCTAAAAAAAAAAAAAAAAAAAAAGGGGGGGTTGGGGAGAAAGCAGAGAAGGAAAACAACTTTCATATATTTGTTATTTCCTTTCCCTAGTTGATAAGCCTTCCTTATATCCAGGGCACAAAAAGTTTATCAATTGTCTAGATTTCCTAACTCTGGTGTTTTATGGTTACTGACTAGGAACACACACGAGGGAAGCCGCTCTAAGCCCGGGTGATTTCATTGCCTGAGTGATCTACTTCACAAGTAAGTTGGTTCAATCAGTTTTATAGGTTTGTGTTTTAAGGACTCTAAGTACCATGCTCAATGGATACCTTGCTATTTAGCTGGAAGAAAGTGAGATGGAGTAAGGAAGTGGTGCTAAGCCAGAAGCTGGTGAGGGCATCTTCACCTTGTCTGTAAGGAAATATACTCGAGAGGTCATGGACAACTGTGACTGTGTCCCTCTGTGAAAGGGATCGTTTCCTAAATCTTTCCCCTTTTCTAAAATCTTCATCATCTTTTATATGTAAGTTTCTCCCCATAGGTGTCTCCTTAGACTTTACTTCAAAGTCAATGAAATTTCAGGCTCCAGTGGGAACTGTTTTCACTTGAGGTCTAGTTAAAGTTGAAAGGGGCTCTTCTGTGTCTTTTTTGACTGAGACAACTAAAATTTACAGAATAGTATGAAATATGTATTAAGAAGTAGAATACACTATACTGCTTTGCTTCCAAGTAACTTTCTTAATTATTTTTAAATTAAAAATAAGCCTTTATAATAAGTAATGAATTAATCTGCTTCCATCTTCCTGAACAATACAGTGTAAATCTGGGGCTGCGATACTTGGGGTATTATCTTCATTCATACATGCACCTATAACTCTTTATCCCCATTCCTATTTAAGAAAAACAGGTCTAGAACTTAAACATTGCTCTTCACTTTGAAACAACAGCATATCATGGCCATGTTAAGTTCAGACTGGCTAACCTAGTAATGACTGCCACTGTAAAAAGCAATGTGTGTAATGATTACAGAAAGTAATTGCACCACAATATTAAATTAGAATTATTTTGCAATTTGACTGTATTTTATAGTGATTGTCATATAGCCAGAATAATTTTGCAAAGCAAAGTACTGATAGAGGTACGTTAAAGAGAAAAATTAACACAGGTGGTGTAGTGTTACAATGCTTCTGAGATATTGATGATATCATTGAAATAATGCCAAACATTAATATGAAAAAAGCAAAGCCAGACTGAGAATGATAATGTCTTGAAAAGCTACAAGATGTTGGAATAGCAGCTCTTATAATTACATAAACCACAATTTGTTCCCATGAGATCTTTTCAAAAAAAAAAAAGGTAAGCATTAAATGACAACATATACATTAGTACTAAAAGGCTATTTTACAGGAAGCAAAAAAAAAAAAAAAAAGGATGAACTGGTCTTGGGAGAAAGTAATGAAATTGAGACTAAATTTCTGTGACCATTTAAAATTCCTTTACATTTAAAGTGTATTCGTGTTTTCCCTGCATTCATGTCTGTGCACGAGGTGTGTGCATGATACCAGTGGAGGCCAAAAGAGGGCATTGGATCCCCTGGAACTGAAGTTCAGAGGGTTGTGAGCTGCCATGTGAGTACTGGTAATTGAACCCAGGTCTTCTGGAAGAGGAGTGCTCTTCACTGCTAAGCCACCTCTTTTTGTTTAAAGTATGATATTTTTCCCAAAAATCAGTTTGAATACTGTTTCCCACAGAGTTGATGGTCTTGAGACAATTATGTGAGATGGTTGTCTGAACAGTTACAAGTAAAAGCCTTGACTCTGTTAAATTTTAGGCATTTTGATATAATCTTTTAGTTGATTTATGTAAAGTTTTGTACTTTTCATTTACTAAACCTTGTCATTGTATGATGTATGGTACATTTTAGCATCAAAGTTGCCCTAAGCAATAAAGCCAGGGACTTTAATACTGATTTCCCAAATTTTAGCCCAGCTCTTCCCATTATTTAGTTTTGTTGTTTGGGATCTCATGTCTAATTTATATCATCTTAATATTTAAATCCATAACTTATGATATAACAAAATGAAATTCAAGTAAGTAAGTTGTCATTTTATATTATAAGGTGTCTAAATATCATCTTTAAAATGTTCACTACAATCTCTATATTTTGTATTTGCACTACAGCTTTCTTAGACATTTTTGTCTAATAATAAGAGAGGAAAGTGATATAAACTTGTATATGATAGGTAATTGAAAGATCTATAAAACTCTTAATGAAGAAAAATGAGGTTTGAAAATGACAGTTCATTTTAAAAGTTATTTTTTTAAGTTCTATCTGGTACTTTCAGATCTAATAGCTGATTCAGATGACAAGAGGATGAAAAGGACCAGTCCACAAGAAATTTGTAAAACAGTAGAAATGATTAGTGCTTAAAACATCTGAATAAAGTTGCCACAGGAAGAGAAAAAAGCATTGGAGCAATTTAACTTGTGTGGTTAAATGTAAGTATCTGAATTCAATATTGCTCTATGGGTAGAACGGAACAGTTTTAAAAAAAAGAAGAAGAATGCAAAGTGTTAGGATTCTGCTGTGCTCCAGCTGCATGACTGCACATGCGCAGTTCAGGAGCTAGACAAGGGGTCTTGTGTCTTATGTCATCAGTGTGCACTGGTGATTACATACACGTGGTGTGGTCATGCAATCTGTGCACATGTGGCATAACTCTGTAAGCCCACCGGAGCCTTAAAGAGCCATGACTCAGACACCACCCTCTCTCTCTGTTCTGTTCCCTCTTCTCCCCACCATCCCTCTCTCTGCACGTGCTCCTTCCCCAGGCCTGGTTCTCTTCCTCCTAATAAAGCTCTGATACTGATACTAGGTTCTGTCATGACCGTGACCTTTCCACAAAGTACCCAACGCTGGTAACCAGCATCGCTTATCATTCTTACATAAAGTGTTTAAGGCAGATGAAGAAAGGTCAAGGAAGGTTATGGCAAAACAAGGGAGTATCAAATGGTTCTGTCTGACTAAGCAAGGATGCTCACAGGGAGCCCTGAGACCAAGACTGATGAAAGACCTTACAACATTATGACACATGGCTTCCAGTTCATAGATGATGATCTCCTTAATGTAGAAAACAAGTACAACCATGGGAAGCAAACAGTACAAAGCAGTGGTTTTCAACCTGTGGGTTGCAACTCCTTTGGGGTTGAAGGACCCTTTAAGAAGGGCCACCTAAGACTTCGAAAAACACAGATATTTATGTTATGATTCATAACAGTAGCAAAATTAGTTATGAAGTAGTTATAAAAATACTTTATCATGGGGGGGGTCACCACAACATGAGAAACTGTATTAAAGGGTCACAGCATTAGGAAGGTGGAGAACCACTGCTACAGGGGAAAGCAACATGACAGTGAAATTCATATGAAGAGTCAAAGAGCAAGGGGCAACTCAAAAGAGGCTGGGGAAGACACAGCTATAAAAGGGAGACGGACAGGAAGTGCAATATAAAGGAGCTCTTTGCTCTTTACTGCGGATGTATGGGACTAGCTGACAGAGTTCCAGATTATATGTCCTGGAATTGTAAGCCAAATAATCCTTCCCCAGTACGTTGCTTTTTGTCAGGATATTTACCATGGCAATGGAAATAAACATAGAATATTCACAATCAAGTCATTGTGCTTTTTGATAATTATACAAACAAACTGAATACTTGCATTTACACAAAACTTGAACATGAATGTTGATAGCAGTTTTATTTATAGCCACCAAAAAGTAGAAACAGCCCCAACAAGACATGAGGGAATCCAAATGCATATTAAATATAAGCGAAGGGTTGCTACCACATGCTATCTGGAAAATGTGAAACTAGAGAGTATAAAGATCAGTAGTTGTCAGGATCTAAATCTGATGAAAGATGAAGAGGTGGAGCATACAGGATTTTGTTTTGTTTTTCGAGACAGGGTTTCTCCGTGTAGCTTTGCGCCTTTCCTGGAACTCACTTGGTAGCCCAGGTTGGCCTCGAATTCACAGAGATTCACCTGGCTCTGCCTCCTGAGTGCTGGGATTAAAGGCGTGCGCCACCACCGCGAGCTTGCATACAGGATTTTTATGACAGAAAAACTATTGTGTTATAGGACCATAATTATGGATATACATCATTGGACATTTGCTAAATGTCATGGAATATAAAATTGTGAGCCTTTATGTCAACTATGATCCTTTTCTTTGTCTTTGAGACAAGGTAACCCAGGCCTCACATTCATACCATTTCTCCTGCCACAACCTCTCAAGTTCTGGAATTACAGGAGGGAGCCACCTCTCCTAGTTAACTATGGACCTTTGATGATAAGGATCTATCAAAGTAGGTTTATCACTTACAACAAAAATACCTGTCTTGTGTAGGATGTAGATATGAGGCAGGTTGTGTTCCTATGGGGCAGAAAATATACATGGGTACTCTGCTTTTCCATTCAGTTTTGCAGTGAATATACAATTATTCTAGAAAAATAGTCTATTTTTTCAAAAAATGCATAAGGTAAACAAAAGTAATATTTAAATTTTTTTAAAAGAATCAATCATAACTTGCTCTGTAGGCTAGGCTGGCTTCAGACTCAGAGATCTGCCAGCCTCTGCCTTCTGAGTACTGGGATTAAAGGTGTGTACCACTACTCCGGGATCTAAGCTTTTCTTTTATTCCTTTTCACAAGTTAGAAAATTAACTAGGTGTGATCTTGCCCTGAGGTCTCCACTCCCTTTATTCCCTTTCTTAATCTGTTCATCTCCTTGAACACAGGACTTAGTTGGTGTTCATTTTCTCCCCAAATATTTTCCCTTGCTCTGCTTGCTCCTTTTCATTATATATCTTCATTAGAGTTAACACTAGTAACCACACAGCAGAGTCTATACTAGGCTGTTTTGAGATTTCCTCTGCCAAGGGGATTAATTCAAAACTCTTCATTTTAGCCTTGGGCAAACCTTTTAGACAAAGGCAAAAAGCAGCCCCATTCTTCACCAAAATATCACAAGAGTGATTGCTACGCCAAATATTAATATTCTTCTTCTCTGAAACTTCTTGATCCAGGCACCCACAGTTCATCAAATCACATTCAGCACCACACACAAAAAAATCAATAATAAAATAACCAGCCATTTAGGATATTCTTTCTCATTATCCATTAATGTTGAAAGTTTGAATAATGATTATATTAAAAATTTTAAAAATGTAAATCACGTGGTGACACTTGATTATAGTAAGCTTGACTACCTAGATAGAGTCTTCTTTTCTGATGCCTCTTCTCCATGAGATGGGGTATGAAAGAAAGGAAGGAAACAACTGTAAAAAGATATGTCAGAAAGAGAGAGCTGGGTGATACAGATGGGTAACAAAGAGGCATGCCACAAAAAGGTCATGAGACTTGTTACCAAAAAAGAAAGCCAAGAAGAGGGAGAAAGACTGTAAGAGCCAGAGGATCAGGGAGTTTGCTTCTGCCAGAATCTCAGAAGCTGCACCCATGAAGTTTTACTAACATGGCTGCCTAAACATGAGCTCAACAATGAGGACACCAACAGACATGCTGAAGTGGACAAGAGAGCTCACAGGCCTCAACCCTGCACAAAGAACTCCAGGCAACCAAGGAATGTGGAGAGCAGAAGAAACTGTCTTCCCCAGGGAAGAGAACACCAATTGGTATCCAATACCAAATGGCCAGCCCTGAAAATATACACACAGGCAACGTTATACAGATTGAGCAGGTTGTATTTATGTATTGAGGAAAGTGTTTGGTGTGTGAGTGTGTGTGTAGATGGAGGTAGGGAGGGAGGGAGGGAGAGGGAGAGGGAGGGGGAGGGGGAGGGGGAGGGAGAGAGAGAGGGAGAGGGAGAGGGAGGAGAGGGAGAGGGAGAGGGGAGAGGGAGGAGAGGGAGAGGGAGAGGAGAGAGGGAGGAGAGAAAGAGAGAGAGAGAGAGAGAGAGAGAGAGAGAGAGAGAGAGAGAGAGAGAGAGGCAGAGACAGAAAGAAACAGAGACATAGAAAGAGTGAGGTATGTAAAAACAGTAATTAAAAAAAAAAGGCCATAAATTTCAAAGTGAGAAAGGAGGGATATAGTGTAGGGCTTAGAGGAAGAGGGGGAGATGATGTAATTATATTATAATCTCAAAAAATAAAAGAAATTATTTTTTTTAAAAGGAAAGAAAGTTGAGAAAATTGGCAATATTAAGAGTTCACTGAAATTCTTTCAATTAATCAATGGTCCCATTATATTTTTTGAAGAAGTATAAAAACTTAATGAGGAAAGTTGGTCATAATTTTTAAAATGCAGCATAAATTTCAAGAATTGTGTATATAATTAATTGTTTCATCATTCCCAGGTACTGCAGACACCTACAAGGAAACAAGAGAAGGAAAATGTGACATATTTATTAACGTCAGTAATATCACATCTCAAAGAAACCATGGTAGTCTACAGTGGACTAATGGCCTGTGAAGACAATGAAACACCAAGAGAACCCTAGTGAGCTACAAGGTGAAGCTAAGCTGAGAAGGGAGGAATGCTCACGGAGGAGTTCCATGTTTTAGATTCTTAGCTGTGCTCATGGCAGCACAAGTAGAAAAGGGCTAAAGTACAGGCTCTTTTGTTGAATCTGGAAGGTGTGTGGACGGAAAAATTGAAGGGTTTAAACTTTCCCACTTTTACAATAGAATTTAGGTTTCCATACTCTGAGGGGGAAGAACAGGTTTCTCTGCCAACAAAGGGCCATTAATCAACAACACCCTTACATTCAGGGATGAGGGAGAGAGTGCAAGGCCTGAGTCAGCCCTACAATGTCTCAAGGACAAATCCTGCAAATCCCTACCTCCTTCTGAGTCATTTCTGGACTTGCCCAAGTTTGCTCAAGTATGTCCAAAAATGGTAAAACTGAGCCTCAGCCAATTAAAAATATACTATTGTAACTGCTACTTGCTTGATCAATTATGTTTGAGATGACCTGTACGCTCCTCTTAGGGTCGTGGCCATTTTGTACCAGTGTTCGACCCTGCATGCTGGTAAAAAAAAAAAAAAAAAAAAAAGCTCTTTGTTTTTGCATACTATTTAAGTCTGGGGTCTTCCTTCAGCATTTTCTCAGACCCTTACATAATGCCACCCTTTGATGTTACCGATTTTTGATAACAGGTCACCAATGTTTACTTTCAGCCCAGTCCAATGATCTATAGGTATCCAATCTTGTTTATCATTAATTCTTTTGGGAGATTGACATGCATAATTATTACGTGTGTGTGTGTGTATGTGTGTGTGTGTGTGTGTGTGTGTGTGTGTGTGTGTGTGTGTGTGTGTGTGTGAGTGATAATGAGGCTTTCACGGTAAATCTTTCACTTTCAATTGCTGTGTCATCTTGCTGGCCCTAGTAAGTACTCTTTTCTTACTGACTCATCCTGAGATTTGGGGACCACTGTTTTCATTCTCCTTTTAGAGATGCTGCCTTAATCAGAAAACATCACTATGATTCCCTGTCACACACAGATAGCTATGAGTGTGCCGCAGGAAGTGGGCAAGAAGACAAGACACAAGACCTTTTCCTATTATTTGTATTTTCTATCCTTACTCTCTTTTTCCTTACATAACTTCACTGAAAACAGAGGGTAACCAACCTCTCTAGGTCTTTCATACAAACACCTAATACAGATCTTCACTTACCCCCAAAGACAGACTGAGCAGGCATCTGCTCCATCCTGATCACCAATGTACTGAAAATAAAACTCTTTGCTTTATTGTATTGCATTTTGTTTAATTTTCCATCTTTTTGTCATTTCTTTCATTTATAGCTTCTGGAAACCTTTTCTTTCCTTTTTACCCACCTTGAAACCCCTGTATATTGTCTTCTTAGTATCTATCATTCTTCTTTCAATTAGCCTTCAATCTCTTCAAAATGTAAAGCCTTTTGTGTTACACAACATCCTCAAAACTCTAAGTATTTGTAAAATATTAGTTGTTGACTGAATAAATCTATTTCTCTGCTCCATTGCCTACTGTTAGAGGATCACACAACAGAACTTATACCTCTGACAGTTACTTACCTTTTCTTCCAGGTGCAACTCTGAAAGTCGCAGATAAGCCACAGGTGCAAATGCATCAGCAGAGTGTATGACTACTTCGGAGGAGTCCCTGCAACACAGAGAAATGAATGTACTTACCAAATCTATACCGTGTGGTTAATTACCCCTGCTGCCGAGAGAAGAGACCTGAAATCCTCCCAAACTAAGAGACACCGACACTTTTCCTATGTAAAGGGACCCACAGTTCACACTCCAAGTTTCTGTAAATCCCTGAATGATTGGAGACCTTGGCTGTTCAACTACACTTCACAAATGTGCTTGGCATGAGCTAAACATTAAACGCCATTGCTTGGTCTTCAGTGCGCCTTTATTTTTAAGACTCAGTGCTTCCTACACAGTCTAAGTCATCCCTCACAAAAGCAAGCTGCTGTGGTGGGAGGTTCTGGCTGAATTCTTCGTACTGTAGGATCACTACTATCAACACTGGTTGTTTGACAGGATAATCACCAAATACAGGTAACATGGTATGAACTGCTTGCTGCCACCATATGGGTAACATGTAGATTTACTCAAGTTTTAATAAATATGCCCTATAAAGAACTTATAAATAACCAAGGTTATCTGTGACATATAACTACTAGTGATTTTTGATGTTTATTAAGACATCAACAATGTATTGCATTTCAACTAAAAATGTAAAAATAAAATTCCTCATATCTCTTTTAATTTCTCATGAATTACCTTCATTGGGTATATTAATATTAGTACCAGGCCACTGCAAGATTGGAAAGCTCATCTTTAACTCTTTTTTTTAAAAGACTCATTTATTTTTATTTTGTGTGTATGAGTGTTTAGTCTGCATATATATACCATGTGCATGCCTGGTACCCATAGAGCCTACAAAAAGGCATTGGATCCCCTATAACTGGAGGTAAAGATGGTTCTGAATTACCATGCAGGCTTTAGAAATCAAACCTGGGTCCTCTGATAGAGCAGCAAATGCTCTTAACTGCTGGACCATCTCTCTAGCCCAGTTATTTTGACTCTAAATTTTTTAAAATTCAAATTATTTTTGTGCTTTTACTTGATTTTAAAATTTGTGTAATCTTTTGCATGTGATTGCAATGCCTGTGGAGGTCTGGAGTTACAGGCAGCTGTAAGATGTTAGTAGTGGGGACTGAATTTGGGTCCTCTGTAAGAGCAGTACATGCTCTTAACAGCTGAACTGAGCCATCTCTCCAGACTCTTCAACTCTTTGCAAGTAGCTTAAAACATATTTGAATAAAGTATTTCTAATTAGAAAGTTATGTAGTGTCAATAGAAAGAACCACAAAATACTTGCGTCCACAATACTAAATTTTCACAAGAAATGTTTGTTTCACTTGCAAAATGTAAAAATATTAAAACTGTATATATGATTAAAAACTCAATATATATTCATGAATCTTTACTATCAAATATGAATCTTGCATATTTGCATAAAACAACATTAAAAAGACAATATTGGAAGACAAGTAACTTATACAAATTGACCCTTTAAAGAATCAGATTTTTGATGAAAAGGCATAACTATCTTTCATAGATTCCATCAATACAAAGGTGCTTCCAGATAAAATGGGACGGAGAGACAGCAGAGAAGGACAAAGTACACAGGAAGAAGGGTTATTCTGACGTCTCCACACATGCTGTACATGCTTGTCTACCCTCTCTACATCTCTCTGTCTCGCACATATACATATATATACAGAGAGAGAGAGAGAGAGAGAGAGAGAGAGAGAGAGAGACAGAGACAGAGACAGAGAGAGAGACACAGAGAGAGATCGCGAGCACAAGTGACTGAGAGAGACAGACACACAGACAGACAGAAATAGACACACAGACACACAGACACAGACAGACACACAGACAGACAGAGACAGACACACAGACACACAGAGACACACAGACAGATACACTGAAAAACAGGAGGGAAACTTGTCAGGAAGAAGGGTCCAGTTGAATAGACCTTCTCTGATACCTTTCCTCAATGGCAGGACTAAGATCCTTTGTGTCATCATTTGCATCAGGCTTGAGTTTCTAGAGCTACAAAATGAAGCTGTTGAACTGTTTTACTGTTGAAGCACCAGGATGCTGAGATCTTTTCATGACAAACTGAAAAGCAGTACTTCCTACAATGAGGTTTTTTTTTTTTTTTTTTTTTTTTTTTGGTTTTTCGAGACAGGGTTTCTCTGTGTAGCTTTGCGCCCTTCCTGGGACTCACTTGGTAGCCCAGGCTGGCCTCGAACTCACAGAGATCCGCCTGGCTCTGCCTCCCGAGTGTTGGGATTAAAGGTGTGCGCCACCACCGCCCGGCTACAATGAGGTTTTATGAAGACCTCTGGATGCTCAGAGTCATCCATCTGTCGGATGGGCAGGTGGAGTATCATTACTTTTTATTTTTTGCTTGTTGTTCTTCCCTCTTGTGCTTAATCTTGTGTTAATAAGTAAACATATCCCTAGTTTTTCAATTACCCTCTAAGTTTACCCAAATATGTAATTTTTTCTTTAATAGTAAACAGCACTGTTTCATGGAAGTACATTTCCTGTATACAAAATCCTTTTGTGATCAGCATGGCTTTAAAAAAATTTCTCCCATCTGCAGACTTCTGGGTAATAACTTTCCTATCTTCTATCACAGTTAATGCACAGATATGCTTTCACTTCAAGCTTATAAAGGTAGAAGCTACAGGCATTAATAGTAACCAGCAGAATTTGATGGAAAGAACAGGCACTCAATAAATTAGTGA